GACGAAGGCGGTTGCAAGCGATAGCCGCGGAGGTTCGGATTCATCTTTGATTGAGAAACGCACACCCGGACCCATAGGGATCCCAAGTCAGTACCTCATTCCTGTAACAAAGTCCGCTGTAGCAGGCCTGCAGAGTGATGGTGCTCCGCGGTGCCAGCATCAAGCCTGCCAAAGCTTCGGGCACTCGTAACTGGAGTATTCCCTCCATGAGTTCAAGGCTTCCAGCCAGAACACACTGGTGGTGATCCAACGGCTTCTTGCAACAAGCCACTTTGCGCATCTAAAGCTCTCAGCTCGCAGGTGATGCTTCAGCACATTGAAGAACTAAGTACCATGATCTACTATGATCATGTTGAATCTATGGACGCAGGTCTGCTTTGGCCAAGTCCCCCGCCTCCCCGTCCCGCGCGCGCCCCCCGGACCCCCCCAAGTGCCTGCTATGTACCGCTCTGCGGAGAAGCCTTCCCGCTCGCGCCAGCGGACAAAAGATCCTGCACGTGAGGAGATTGGCATGCGACACAGCACGAGCTCGAATTTCGTTTCGAAGCGCATGCGCCAACAGGGTTAAACGCTTATTGTTCAAGGTAAGCCCCAAAGCACTGAACCCTAAACCCGTAGAAGTAATCAGCAGCAGTACCTGCAGCAGTAGCAGGGAGAAGTCGTAGTGGTGCACGACATTAGGTCGAAATAGCACATACATCTATATGTGTATATACATAAATATATTATAAAGAACATGTATACACGCACTGATGTATATATGTATACACCGAGTGTACACCAAAGGACCAAGCTCGATGGCTCAGTCCAGGACAGCGTGCGCAGCCCCAGTCCGAGCCCTGCACCTGCAGGCGAAGGCTTGAGCCGGCGCTTTTTACCTTTTATTGTTACATTTTCTGATGCCCTTATATTGTTGTTCTTATATATATATGCTTATCTTGTTATGTCAGTATATTCTTTGAGCTGCGAGTATTAGTCAATGGCTCCACTTAGACATCACGCTGAAAAAATCCCAGACCCAGAAATCCAAAACCCTTGAGCCCAAAAACCCTAAACCCTAAACCCTAAAAAACGCTGCATCAACAAAATTGCTTGGCCCAGGGCCAGGCCCCACTTCCTCCGCGGACGCCGACACGGCCGCGCCTCTCGGGGAGTTGGTCTTCGAGGCGTCGAAGCCACTTCTTAAGGTTTAGGGTTTAGGGTTTAGTCGAAGCCACTTCTTAAGGTTTAGGGTTTAGGGTTTAGGGTTTAGGGTTTAATTAGGGCTTAGGGTTTAGGATTTAGGGTTTAGGGCTTCTTAAGGTATTGCCAGGAATGTAGTGCTTAGGGCTTCCTCTTTGGTTAGATTTAATCCCCTCCAAACAACCCCGCCCCCCTCCCCCCCCCCCCCTCTACTGTGGAACATGTTGTGCCCCGCGTCCCCCTTGCCCCTCTTCCGCCCTGTTTTTGATTTCAATCCCCGCCCCCACCCCACACCGCAGGGGCCGGGGGGGCGCGGGGAGATTGAAATCTACCCAAAAAACTGGGCTGAAGAAGGGGGGGGGGGGGTGACCGTCATCAAAAACATACTAACATCTTGCACAAAATTTATGAAATATGTCATCCAAAAGCTTCAACATGCAACACATCGTCTATAAGATAGTATGTACGTTCTCTGATATATAAGATCTCAGACCATATTCAGCATATTATGACACGTATGCGTTCCTCTGTCTTCTATACTTCATGAAAATGCAAAAGTCGCCTCGGGACAGCAGCAGAGCTCCGAGCGGACGTTGGCGGTGGGCTCACCCGGGCCCTCGCACGCGTAGCCACCGACAGCCTCGTCACTGCTTGCCATTGCACCTACTCCTTTGGTAAGGGCCAAGCAATAATGTCCAATGCAGTGCTCGCGCTGCAGTTACTTCAGTTTCTGCAACGCTGGATATGCCACATGCTGCGGCACTGACGGGGCGCAGCATAACTGACCGCATAGCGGTGGCTACACTCGGCTTGCGATGACTGCGCGCACGTCATGGCACGCCGTGCTCTCAAATCTCGAAGAAGCAGTAGGCTTGCCTCGCACCGCTGCCAGGCGGGGCGCGGGAAGATTGCCGGCTCGTCATCCTTCGGGCTGGATGCATGTGATTTAGATCGCATGTGCGCCACAGGACGGATCAGAACGGACAGCTGCTGAATTTCCGTTGTCTTAGCATCGCTACATGGTCCCTTAATAGGGGCCCTTACTTGGGGAACCCTTATATTATGCCTCTTATATGCCCTGTACAACCCAAGGGCCCATACTTCAGAACCCTTTAATTAAAGGCAAGGGACCATATTAAGGGACCGTGGAACTATCCTTCGACATTGGGCGACGACCGACTGCTAGCTGGAACACGTTGCTTCGACGCTCGGAACCGGGATGCTGGAAGCCTGTCCTCGCTGTCGGAAAAACCGAACTCTGAGCCTGCGTGAATGGCCCATCAACAACGTGCAAACACACACACACACACACACACACACACACACACACACACACACACGCAGAAACAGAGACAAGAGAAAAACGCGCTCAAATACCAACTAAGCGCATGAGCACCAACCAAACTAAATCTCAAAGCACACCTGGCGGGTTCTCTTCATCATCGTCCCTTTTTGGGTACAGTAACCGAAGCTTGCAATAAGGGCTTCGCTTGATGACACCGATTTTTTTCAAAACCAGGCAGTCTAATTTCTGGAACCTACAAGCTACAAGCCCCGAACTCCCTAAACCCTATGTCACAGGGCGATTGTGACAAGGGCCCTGGTTCTCTGTGCTCTCTGCTCCATCTCTCAGACCCTCGCTGATCATGGCTTTAGGGTGTTAGGGTTTGAGATGGTTTGAGGGTCTTGGGGCCTTCTCGGGCGTTCAGGCGTAGAAGGTTTTTAGTTTAGGGGACCAAGGGTGATTGAAGCAACCCACAACATGCAACCCCCCACCTCCCTGATGCCTCATGGTTTATTACTAAGCTTTCAAGCACCTAAAGCCCGCACCCAACAGATCCCAAAAGCACGCCCCTCCACAAGAAAAGGCGCCTGCGCTCCGCCACGGGAGTCCCAGCACGAGAGCCAGAAGCCTTCTCTGCGCAAAAGCATTCTAAGCGGCATCGCCAGTATCGCGCTTTGGGCTTGGGGTCTACACATCCACCTGGCAGTACTCAATAGCGCACGGCGGTCAGGTCGGGTCCGTGAAAGCACGGGGTCGTTAAACCGACAAACCATGACATTCGGATGCGCCCTCCCTCGTCAAACAGGAAGGGCCAGCAGATCTCAAAAGAAGCGCCAAGCTTCAGAGCTGGCAAGTCTGCATCCCGCTCTGGCAAAGTAGTCCCTCGATTCTTGAAATCCTGTGGCAAACACCGTTGCGAATTCTCAACCCTAAACCCTAAACCCTAAACCCTAACCCCTAAACCCTACACCCTAAACCCTGCAGCTGCAGCAGCACGGCTCGTGCCCAAGCATGGCCAGGACCCATGGCCAGTGCTTATCTCGTGGAGTTGGGTGTGGCGGTGTGATGCTTGACTGGTTGTTGTCATTGCTATGCTGGTGAATCAGACTTCACCTGCGGGTCTTGCGATTGTGGACGAGGTCAGCTGGGGGGCTGTAGGAATTATAACGCCAGACAGGCAGCGCAAAAGCTGCAACGAAAGCCGCATCTGTCCAAAGAAAGTCGACTCTGCAGGTGATTGATGCTTGGGAGTGGTTGAAGCTGGTGCGGCATTCTTGGGGGAGAGATGGTCACTGAAGGGAGATCTGCAAAGGGGTATACTCGTCGTGATGCAGGATCATGGGTTGGTCGACCATCTGTCGACAGATGATGTAGTTTGAGAAGCAGCTGCAGACAGTTACAACCTGGACGCAGAGACGCTGATCAAGATGCGCCGGCGCTAGTCTGTCAACTATCCATGATCAAGCCATCAACTGGCCACTGGGAAACCTTTAACGACAAGTCAGGATGAGACATACAGACGTTTCATACAGTGTCCAGCATACTCGGTGCGACGTGCCGGTCATGTCTTGTTCATCCACAAAGCACAACTCTCACACTCCCGGGCTCACAAAGCAAGACCAAGACAGATTTTCTGATTTCCCAACATAGGGGTACCCCTTGTATAGAATCCCCTTAAAGGGACCCCCCAAAAAGGGTACCCCTATTTTCGGAAACCGCCATGCGACGACAAGCGCAGCGGTGCCCCCCCCCAAAAATCGGCCTTCTCCTGCTTCGCCGCCTTATTCTTCTCTTGTAGCTTTGCATCTCGTTCGCGACGGCCGGCGAGCCTCGGCCCCCAGGGGCTTTCTAAGACGGGGAGCGAGCACGCTTGCAAGATGAAACTGGAAAGTGGCCCTAGAAGCATGAAGGGAAGATGAAATCTGGTGATGTAAATAAATGTGTGTAGATAGATGCTCTACATATACACATTTGTATGTATGCATGTCTACTTAACTCACGCATATGCGTACATATGATTCACCTGTTCTAGAATTCAGGGAAAGTGGGGGGACGTGCACAGCGCGTACCTCTCATTGTGGCATTGATGCCGCGGCCGTAACTACGGGAGCAAGAGACCACGAGACGTGCCTCGCCCTTTTTGCGAAACTCTTTGAAGGAAGGATGCTGATTGTTTTCGAAAAATAAGGGACCCCTAGAAAAAAGAGACTATCCTCCCCAATAAGGTACCCCTGTTTTCGGAAACCCCCATTTGAGGCTCCGACGACATTTCGCCACGTTCCACCTGCGGAGCTCCGAGCTCTGGCCGCGAAGCCCCAGGGATTGAACTTCGGGTGAAGGTTCGTCGGCTGTTTAGGCTTCAGGGTTCAGGGTTTAGGGTTTAGGATATAGGGCTTAGGGTTTGGGGTTTAGGATTCAGGGTTTAAGGTGCAGACATGAGCTGGAACACATGGCAACAGATGCAGGCCCAGCTGCCACGCAGTGGATGCTGTCGACGTTTTTTTCCAGAGTGGCGTGGCAGTCAAGCAGAAACTCAGTAGAACTCAATACGCGAGCTCATCTGGCTACCAGTCTTGGCAGACACAATGTTGAAGGCACCGAAGCACCCGGAAGCGAGATTAAAAGGAGGAGGCAAGAGCAACATGCCTGCCATCGCGCCAAGCTGCCTCGCCATTGTTGTCTTCGCTTCGTCGCTCAATAACATGGACTTAACCCCATATCTTGCCCAAACTGCGAAGTGCTGGCAGTTGTTTCGAGCAGCATCGTACCCTCCGAACGACGAAGAAAGCTTGTCCAAGGCACGCTGAGATGACTCTTCGCCAGAATACGGTGTCCCGTAGTGGCCAGATAGCATCTCGAATGAATACCAAGAAGTGCTTGGATGCATCGGGGTTATCCATATATTTTGACACCCCTTGCTTGAAGACGAGACAGGAGAGGTGTGCGGGAAACCACTTGGACGCGTGGGGCCACTGTGCTCGATGACGTAGTGTGTGCTCTCATCGAGGACCATACCACATTTTGCTTGAAGATCTCGAGTTCCGCATCCCAAATGGATACCTGCATGGAAGAAATCACCTGGCACGCTCAGCTTGTAGCCCACAATCTCGCCGACGTTCAGCAGCTCGCCGCTCTCGTAGTAAGGGGAAGCGAGACGAACTACCTGACGCCTGTGCTGCTATACATTGCCGAAGTCGGCCTCTTTCTCGGCCACAGGCCTACATCCAATTTACAAAAACTTCCAGCTCCCAGCAATGTAGTGCCAGGCGGCAGCAGGGCGATGGTCGCTAGCGCGATCCATCTCTTCATCCCCCATGCCATGGTGCGATGCAGGCAAATGACCGTTGATGTATGTAGGAAGAGCAAAAGGCAGCTATGTATGCGTTCGGTACAGCTTGTAAGTACCTCTAGAAGGCACCCTCGTCCTTAAACCCTACTTATGCTCCAAAACTGAAGTACGCGAGCTCTTCAAGAGCCCAAAGGGCTCAAAAGGCCAGCAATAAGAAGCTCAGGATTGCGGATGTTTATGTACTTACAAAGCAGATGTATGTACATAACTATACATATGTATATGTATATATAACATACATATCTACGTACATACGCATATACGTATCTAGTATACATGTATATTCATGTACATACGTATAAATACGTATTTGTACATATTGCGCCCTTCAACTAGTCCAGGAAATGATTGTTGCCAGGGTTCTGTATTTAGGCAAAATGTTCGACCACCTTGGCACCTACATGCATCAGTTCAACGCCTGGAACCTCTCGGCGAGCGTCCTAGATTCTTTAGATCATACGAAGCAAGTCCTCTCGCGGGCCGCCTTGTCTTGAAGACGCTTTACTCGCGCAGCTTTGCGCGTGCGGCGCACCTTCGCTGCAGCTCGAGTCTGATTTAGTTCGAAGTGTATTCTTTGCGACTTCATTTCGTAAGGCGACTGCACCTGACTGCTGGCAAAAGGTACAGTGCCTGTGCACTCATGCCGATAGGACAACTAAATGGATGGAGCAGCTTTGCCATAGCAAAGGTTCCCTCCAAACAGCCTACCGGACCATCCATAAATTTCCACACGTGGCGCCGTAGAGTCACACAAATGGGTACCCCTTTTCTACACGAACCCGCTGCAAGAGGCCCCTTTCGAAAGCCCATCCGTTATTGTTGCACCCCTTTACTCCCCTAATATAATACATCATCTCCCTGGAAAAGACTTCCTTCTCTTAGATACATAAACCCTATAATGAATTCGTGGGCGTAGGCACGCCGGTTCCTGGACATGGACACAACGATTCGTGGGCATAGGCAGAACGGTTCGCGGGCATACGTGGACATAGGCACAATGGTTCGTGGGCATCGTCACAGTGGGCAGAGGCACAACGGTTCGTGGGCATCGGCACGCCTGTTTGTGGGCACAGGCACAACGGTTCGTGCGCAGCACAATGGGGGCATAGGCACGCTTGTGGGCACCCGTGGGCCTAGGTTCAGGGTTGCTTTAGGTTTCAAGGCCTAGGGGTTAGGGCTCAGGGTTTGGGATTTCGGGTTCAGGGTAAAGGTTTAGGGGCTGCTGGGCCTCGGGCTTTTAGGTGTTTCGCGCCCTAGGGTATGGATCCTAAGGTTTATGAACTGAGTGAACTTTAAAAAGTTCTCAATGTTCTGGGATTTTTTGGGCCGGTGGGTATTTTCCCGTCGCTTGAAAAAGCTGCTTGACGGGTGAAAGCTAGAACTTGAGATGCGAAACCCTAAACTCGAACCCCTAGACCCTAAACCCTCCTCGCATGTTCGGATGCCCAGAAAAATCGAAGTTTCGCAGACGTTGGGGCCCGCGCTGCCGCCTTTTCGTCAGGCGTGAGCTCTGCCTGATCCTGTGTGCCGTATTTTGTTCCGGGGGTTGAAGGTTGAGGGTTCAGGGTTTAGGGGTTTAGGGTTGTGGTCGTGCACCCGTGAGATGCTGGGTGCCGCTGCACTGGGGCAGGCGTAGCTCAAAGGGCTTCAATGGGCCTTCGGGTACAAGCACTTGGCAAGCAAAATATTTCAGCATGGCCATAATAACAAAACCCATAAGAATACGAGAGCAATAACTATCATCATCATAATCATAAGAATAAAATAACAATAATCATCATAATCATAATAATAGCAAAAACCGTGAATACTTAGCCTCGAAATCCTCATCATCATGAGATTCAGAACAAGAACCGTCTTCATCATCGTACTCATCATCGTAGTGCCCACACCCGTAATCACCGTAAATCACAATCCAAAACTCAAGCATCACACTCAGCATACTCATCAACGCTGGGCTTAGGGTTTCAGGTTTAGGGGCTTTCAGAGGTTTAGGGCCTCTAGGGCTTTTAGGGGGTTTTAGGGGGTTTCGTGGCTTGGGCTTCGGGTTTCCTCGGAAAGCGTAGTTCGGAATCCCGGGGGTCCTTGACATGCCGGCGAGGCGCTTTTCGCTCCTCCGGCCTCGGCTCGGGTGCGCGCATTGTGTATGCCGATCCTGTTACTCTGACTACGATATCTGTTGCTACTCCTGTCACTGCTGAAGTTGCTATTGCCACGAATATTACTGATGCTGGAACTCGTACACTGCTACTCGTACAGTACTCATACTGATGCTCGTACTCGCAAACTACGATCTCCTAGTACTCCTACTACTCACGCCTGCTCCTACTCCTCCTACTCCTCCTACTCCTCCTACACTCCTACACTCCTGCACTCCGACACTCCAACATCCAACGCTCCTACTCTCGTACACTCCGACGACGACGACGACGAACCACTGCCTCCTCTACTATTCCCCTTGCTGTTTGTCAGAGGCTGGTCTCGGGAACCCAGCGCTTGCAGCGTGGCATCGGAGACCATGAGTGGGATCGTTTCCTGTCGGTGGGCCCATATTCAGCGGCCCAGAAAAAAAGAGTACATTGAACAACGAGGAAGCAAGCTCTGCAGAAGCTTCAAGCATTTTGAAAGAGCAATACACCTACTTTGCCAAAGGGCGCATATTGCGCACCCAGGCGCCGTACTACCCAGCAACCACTGTTCCGAAGCTCCAAAATGCAAGGGTTGGGATGGGCATCGCCTCCATCTTCAGCGATGGCACCTGCAAGGCATCGAAGGCTCGGCTTCCCTCTGGGAGCTTTCTTGTGAGGGACGTGAGGGGATGATGGGGTTTAGGGTTTAGGGTTCAGGGTTTAGGGTTGTTCCACAGAAAAAGCCCCTTTTAGGGGGCGGATTCGAGTCAGCAGGCTGCCGACGTGAGCAGTGTCGAATCAGGCCTTGAGGCCCTCCGCCGAGGAGCCGGCCATGGGCGGCCGAGGCCTCAAGAGCATCTGAGGTGCAAAAAGAAGCCTAAACCCTAAACTGCCCTAAACCCTACACCCCAAATCCTAAACCCTAAACTGCCCTAAACCCTAAAGGGGGTTTAGGGCGATGAGGCAGCTGTCTGACCTGCCGCCCTACACCCTCACAGAAAACTTCTCGAGGCAACCGCGTGAAGTGGGCGTTCGACAGCATGTCCAGCTTGTACCTTCCGATGGGGCCTATTTGAGTTGGGCTTTAGGGTTTAGGGTTCAGGGTTAAGCAAAAACGAAAACTACAAGTAGGCTCCTGCAGTGCAACTTGGAGAAGGTTCAAGCGGAGCTTCTTCGGATACTTACCCTGAACACAAGGCTCCCACGTTTGCAAGAGGAACCCAAAAGGAACCGTGATGTAGATGCCAACCACCAAATCGCAGACCTGCTTTTTCTTCGGCTGCTGTGGCCAGGACGCCCGCGCGAAAAGTCAAGAAAATCGCCAGCACCTTCGTAAAGGTGCAAGAGCCAAGAGGGCGCGCACGAGCCTCATGAGCTCTGAAGCGCCCGGCAGAAGGCCGCGAAGCTAGTTGTATGACAGATCTCTGCACATGGGATGGAGCTGGCTTGAGAGCTTGGTTTGGATTACATGGTGGGCTTGTTGTTCAGGGTCTGCATTCCAGCGTACTCCTTCAGTTGAGGCAAAGGGGCCCATTCATTGGACAGATCAGCCCTTCGGCATAGCATGGGAAGATTTTCAGAAACCTCAAGTCGCACTGTACATTCACCAGCAGCTTCGACATTGCATGGGGGGGGGAGCTCTCAATTCGTTAGGGTCACTAGTGGCGGCCATAAGGCCCGACTCTAGAATACCTCCTCCCCATCATGGAATTGTGGGTGTAGCAGAGATCTGACACAGGGCCATGAAGTGGCCGAAAAGACCCCGAGGCCACCGCCTTCAACCCAAAACCCCAAAACCCGAATCAACCCGAAACCCCTGAACCTAAACTCCCAAACCCCAAACCCTAGCCCTATACCCTAAAACCCTCAACGCCAATTCAACCGCCGGCCACTTTGTCCGATCGGTCTCCGCGAACTGCCCACCTCACGGCTTTCTTCGGTAGCCGCGGCTGGCTTGCCTGGGTTTTAAATTTTAGGGTTTTAGGGTTTTAGGGTTTTAGGGTTTTAGGGTTTTAGGGTTTTAGGGTTTTAGGGTTTTAGGGTTTTAGGGTTTTAGGGTTTTCGGGTTTTAGCGAAGAACCGCAACAAAGTAGGCTGCAGTCCTGCAAAGAGCAATGTGCTGAGTTGACACACGCTCTACCTCTCTCTCTCTCTCTCGCTGTCTCTCGCTCACTCTCTCACTCTCTCCCTGTCTCTTCTCTCTCTTTCTTTCTCTCCAGCCTCTTGGATTCCCTCCTTAGGTCCTTAAGAGGTCCAGACCTGGTTCCAAACTCAGAAATCCTGTTCTGCCGCGCCGGCCTCCTACATTAAACACCATGAATAACCCCCTACGAGGCCGCCGGCTCGTAAGAATGCAGGGTGCAACTAAGGAAGTCCGGACCTGGGGGGCGCCTCTGAATTTTTCCTGAATCAAAGAAGGATTCCGTCCCTAAGCAGTCCAAAACAAGCTCCAGACTCAGAATTCCTGAACTGCAGAGCCGAAAGCATCGAAAGAAGCCCAGAAAAAGCCAGAAGAGGCCCAGGGAAAAAGTCCAG